GGCCACCAACATTGTTGTCGAGCTGCCGCTTCCATCTTGTTCTCTCCTACGTGACCCACCTCGGCTTGTAGACCTGTGAGTACGGGTTGCAAAAGACATCCTGGCCATCTCAGGGCAAAAAACCTCACTGTCAATCAGCTGTTTTGATCAATGGCTACGGTACTGCTCTAGAAGAACCGCGAAGCCCGATATGGATAGGTCAATATTGCCCTATAGTAAATGGTTGAATACTATTGCCGTGTCGGAGTCTGTGCTCTGAGCCACTGCCCAGTTGTGTCGAGTTGGTTTGTTTGTATACACAGCACTGACTCCTTTAAAAAAATGTTATACTCCGTGGAGTCGGACTTTGTCGAGCGTCGTGAAATAACAACTGCGCTAACATGGTGTTTGCCCGGGCGGTAGGAATACATGAATTTACATTCCTGCAATATTTCTTGCCAAACAGCAAGGTGGCCCTCAGCCTTCTTGGCGATTTCTAACCACTAAAAGATCCTGTATTCAGACCGTAAGACTAACGGTTTGCCCAACAAACGGCGATAGAACTGATTAACGAGGTCAATTATCGCTAACAGTTAGCGGCGGTATATAGCAGATTTCTAGACAGGATTTTCTAATCCGCTGGTCCGTCTGATTTTAAGCTGCCGTCCTCCCCTTCCAATAGCATCCGTGATTCGGCGTCGCTCCCTCGCTCGGCCGCTACGATGGTAGCAGCGGGCCGCGATGAGGTCCATTAACTACTGACTGAACTGTTACTTGCCAAGAGTATCCAACCATCCTCCTCCCTATGGGCTTGGCCCATTGCATTAGTCTCCAAATAGGATGGCTTCCTATGCATGTGTATTGACTAACGTCGTCTAAATGCCATGACAGTGCGAGTTTCATTTCCACTGCCGAGGTTGGACGACACAATAGGCGCGTTAGGCCAGGCTGCTTGGTTTTCCACTTTCGACGTCAAGTCGGGTTGCTGTAAGTGAAAATCTACTTAAATGACCGTCAGTATACAGCCTTCACTGTTCCCCAAGATTTGTTCGAATTTCAAACCCTATCCCTCGGGCTCTTCAACGCGGCAGCTACGTTCCAGCGCCTAATATGTCGTGAATCCGCCACATCATCCCGTATAAGTGTCTCGTCTACCTAGACGACATCATTGTGTTTGACCTTTCTACAGACGAACACAATTCAAATCTACGGGAAGTTTTCGTGGCTCTCTAGAAGGTCGGACTTACTCACAACCCCACTAACTACCTTCCTCTCCGTTCTGAGGTCCAGGTTCTTGGCCATTGTCTTTTGCGGGACGTATATCACTCCTACCCGACCGAATCAAGCACAGGCGTACATGGAATGCTCCAACGAACCAAACTGAACTACGGGGATTTCTCGGTCTTGCATCATACTATCAACATTTAATTCGGAATTTCAATCAGATCGCTGGCTCCTTTCAAAAACTCACTAAAAACGACCGGTCTGGCACTTGGTCCGCCGAGTGCGACTCCGTCTTTAATAGCCTTCGTGCGTCATTATGATCAGCGCCATTGCCATCTCTTCCGAACGTCGACGACGACGCCCTCCCGTTCATACTATATACTGGTGGAAGCCGGTTTGTCATCGGAGCTGTTCTTTATCGTGTCGGTAAGGATGGCGCAGAACACCCAATCTGTTTCGCCAGAAACATACTAAAACACAGCGTAACTACTGCACCTTCAGACGCGGATTGCTGCCGACCATGATGTTCATAAGTCAATTTGAACACCTCCTCGTCGGCCGGCGGTTCATCCTACAGTAGATGTGCTAACTCGTGAAATGTTAACCAAAATTTTGAAATTCGTTCTCGTTTTGAAAAGATTAATTAAGCAGTGCTGTAAAACTAATCATGATGCAGCATAAGTCTATAATGATCCAGTTACCACAGGGTGTCAGCTTTCGAATGAACTAATTTTTGGCTGCATGCAAGATCAATACTCTGCAAAAAATGACTGCAAATTTAGTATGCAATTTTCTCATTGCTACCCCATTGGCAGGAGTTTTTACAGAACTTCGGCTCCGAGTGCCAGTTCCGCGCTGAGCACAAACATGGTAATACGGACGCACTTTCACGCATCTCTTTCACAATCAGTATAGAAGATGAACCACCCAATATGGACTTTAACGCTATTATTGTTTCAGAATCCACCCGATACACCTGGTCCTCAACACAGAGCTCCGATCCTGATATCGTTGTCATTTACTTAATGACTATCTAAACCCAGCGAACAAGAGATTCGAGGAACGGGTCAAAATGCGCGCTTCCCGTTGGACCAATGAACTCACCTGGTTGTCCTGCTGGACGTTCTTTTCCTCCGCGATCCCTCGCTCCATCATTTGCGCCCAGTGGTGCCAGGCTTTTTGATCAACACTGTGTTAACCTACCTACACTGGGATTTAGGTCATTGCGACCAACGCCGGACAGAGCTATTTGCCCGCACACTCTTCTGGTGGCCGCAGCTACGCGCCTCTCTCTCCCACTTCTGTCAATCCTGCACTACGCGCCCATCCCTTAAAACTCCTTTTATGACCCGGTAGGAAGGTAGGACAGGAAGAGAGCCGGTTCGGAGGACAAGCACTTTATTGGAACTTGCGGACAGGAGGGAGTTCAACTCGTAAGAAAGGTGTGCTATTTATTGGCTCCCGTGCGTTCTGGAACATTCCGTCCAATGACGTGCCAGTCGTAGAGGGCGTTCTAGAATGTTCCTGTCCCGAACGTGCTGGTCGCTGATTGGCCACCGCGTGCACGATAGCCCCGCCGCGGAAACGTCTGGAATGTTCGGCCATCCATTGATTGGGCCGCACACGTGAGCAAAGCCACCACGCGTGCTCGGCGCTGCAGTGCGCGCCGGTCGGTTGTCTAACTTCGCGCGTGACTCACGTCGCCGACTTGGTCCTTTGTTTGGCGCCTTAGGCCGTGGCTCTACGCCGCTTTCGCTCTCCATAACACCTCCCGCTTTTGAAAGTTGGACCTCGTACCTCTTCTTCTTCGGGTCCAAGCCCAGTTTCCTTGGCGGTTGCGTTCTTCTGCTACTTCTACGAACGACGGGTAATGTTGTCTGACTGTCTACCCTGGGGGTTGGAACCTCAAAGGTATCACACAGCAAGTCGTGTGCCATTTGACTGTCTCTGGTGTGTCTAGTCCTGAGCTGATTTGCATGCCTCTTTATTTTTCCAGCTGCTGTCTCCACCTCGAACAAAACACCTCTGGATTTTCTTATTATACCTTCTATCCAGGGCTTCCCTCCGGCTTTGTAGTTGCGAGCAAACACCTCCTCTCCCTCGCGAAAGTAATATTTTGTTGTTTGTGGAACTCGAGCTTCCGGTTGTAGGTACTGTAATCGCGTATCCGGCTGTCGTCCCAAAAACCGTTCGGCTGGTGTCTGGCCCCCAAGATCACTTTTTGGAGTTGTTCGATAGGCAAAGAGGAATGTGTTGAGATACTCCAGGTTAACACCAGTGTTCCACATCTTTTTCATCGCTCTCTTGAATGTGTCGACGAAACGTTTTGCCTGGCCATTCGATTGTGGATGGAATGGTGGTGACGTCACATGTCGAATTCCCCATTTCTGGCACAGTTGTTGGAAAATTGATGACGTGAACTGAGTGCCGTTATCCGTCAAGATCTCCGTGGGGATGCCGTATCTCGCTATTACTTCTTCCGTCTTCCTTGCCGTGATATCAGCAGTAGCTGCCGAGACGTCGAAAACTTCTAGCCACTTGGACCATGCATCGACAACTATTAGAAACATTCGGTTGAAAAACGGACCAGCAAAGTCCATATGGACTCTACTCCAAGGTCTCGTTACCTCTGGCCATGGCACGGGCGGTACTTTCGGTGGGTTCTTAGCCTCACGTCCACACGGGCCGCAGCTTCGAACAAAAAATTCCACGTCGTTATCAATTTCCGGCCAATATACGTATTTGCGGCCCAGTTGTTTCATGCGGGTCATACCCTGATGTCCAGCATGGAGCTCCCGCAAAACTTGTTGCTGATATCTGGTTGGAATCACCACTTTACCATCGTACATTATGCAGTCTTCCGTGATATATAACTGTTCCTTTCTGTTCCTGAAAGGCTTTATCGATGGGTGTACTTTGTCGTCGCTGGGCCAACCGTTCCGTATAAACCCTTTCACCTGGCGCAAAAGTGGGTCTGCTGCCGTGGTGGCCCTGATGTGCTCGGCTGTGAGCGGTAACTGTCGGATGACACCTCTAAACTCGTCATCATCTTGCATTAGCGTACTGGCGACAACCACGTCTTCTTGATTTTCGTTGCCTGTACTCAGTCGTGATAAAGCGTCCGGAGCTCCAAACTTCTGAGTGGGCACATATTGGATCTGAAAGTCATAGTTTTGAAGATTAGTACTCCAACGTTGTATTCTCCTAGCTACGTTCTGGGGAACACCACGGTTAGTACCCAAAAGGAACTTCAGTGGTTGATGATCAGTGTGCGGTGTAAAGGGTCTGCAATAAATAAACAGGTGGAATCTCTGTACGGCGAAGATAATGGCCAGTGCCTCCTTTTCAATCTAGCTATAATTCCGTTCTGCCTTCGTCAGTGACCTGGCGGCATGCATGATTGGCTGGACTCTCCCATCTGCGTCCTTCTGAAGGAGCACTCCGCCTAAACCGTAATCAGAGGCGTCTGCCTGGACAATGGTTTCTTTGTCAGCCTCGAAGTGCGATAGCATAGTTGAGTCGCATATCTTTGTCTTTATGGCATCAAACGCGTTTTGACATTCTGGAGACCAAACAAACTCCACGTCCTTGCACAGAAGTCGGCTGAGTGGAGGTTTTAAAATGTGCAACCCAGTGATGAACGGACCGTAGTAGCTGACCAACCCCATAAATGATTGCAGCTTCTTCGTCTTCTTCGGCACTTCCATGTTCTGGAATGCCTTCACCCTCTCTGGGTCAGGGGCACGCCCATTCTCGTTGACTATGAACCCGAGATAGTGGATCTCCTTCCGCAAAAATTAACTTTTCTCCATGCTGATCTTAAGGCCGTAGTCGATCAGATTGTCCACAACCTGGTCCAGCCTTTGAGTCAGCTCTTCCTCTGAGCTACCGACAACCAAAATATCGTCGAGATATGCAATAGTCCCGGGAACATTCGTAAGCATCGTATCCATAATCTGCTGGAACACACTAGGCGCCGTTTTCACGCCGTAGTTTAGGCGACTGTATCTATAAAGACCCTTGTGCGTATTAATGGTCAAAAGTTCCTGCGATTTCTCGTCCACCTCAATTTGCAAGTAAGCTTCGGATAGATCGATCCTTGCAAAGACTTTCCCTCCATTTAGAGTAGCAAAAACCTGCTCTAAGGTTAGCAGCGGGTAATGGTAATTTTCTAGTGCGTCGTTCAAACCCGTTGAATAATCCGCGCGCAATGGTATTTGTCTGTTGGGTTTCTTCACCGCCACGACTGGGGCAGCCCAAGTTGAATAATTGGTAGGATAGATTACGCCCTTTGCCTGTAACCTTTCCAGTTCAGCTTCTACCGACGACTGTACCGCAAACGGGACTCGTCGGCTCTGCTTGAAGATTGGATTTTTCTCCGTCTTCACTTTCAAACTTATCTTCGTTTTCGTGCACCTGCCGGCCGCGTTCTCCATGTGTTCCATATACTTATTCTTCAGGACCTCCTCAGTAGTGTTGTGCACCGCGCTGCAAATTTCGTTAAAGGGACGGTTCCATAATCCCAGTTCGGAGATCGTCTTATTTCCGAGAAGATTGTTACGGGTCTTCGACACATAGACATCTGCGAGGCAAGTCATGTTTCGAAAACTGACAGTCGCCTGGAAAACGCCTTCAAATTCCATACGCGTCTCATTTGACGCCCACGCTATGACCTCTGATGGTCTCAGTTCTGGAGAACCGATGTCCTCCCATGTGCGCATGCTGATTATGGTCAGATCAGAAGCCGTGTCTACTTGTAATGTGATCGGCTTTTCGTTAATCTTCACTGTCAGGTATTTCCGGTGTTCACAGTTGAGAACATGCGAATCGTCTTCTAAAACGACATGGCAATTCTTTCTTGGGGTAGTGTGCGCTGCTCTGCAATGTGAAGCTTTATGGCCAACACGGGAACATTTGTAGCACTTCCTACTACGATAGGGACATTCACTCACGTAGTGCCAGCCGCCGCACAGCCAACAAGCCTTCTTTGGCTTCCGTGGAGAAACTCTACTCGGTTGTGATTGTCTCGATTTTGTGTCAAAAACGTAAGCTGGCTGACTATTTGTGCTTCCAATAAGCCGAGTGTCTCGCTTGATATTTGCGATTCGGACACATTCCTCTGCCAGTTCCTGTACTGTCATATTGCCTTTCTGGTCTAGCGGGGCGAGTAACCGCGTGCGCACATCTGCATCTTCTGGCAACGTCAACGACTTAATGAAGAATAGTGCTTTAATCTGTGTGCTCGTGGCTTGTTCTAGCTCGGCTTGCTGAAAAGTATCATTAACTCGACCGGCCAAGTCAAAATAGTCTTCTTCAGGCTTACGTTCTAGCTTGAAACATTCATAACGTCGATTGAATAACGACTTTGTAAAACAGAACAATGCATTCAAATGCTTGACTGTGTCCTTAAACGAGACATCTGATGGTTTCTGAGGCAGAATGAACTTTACGTACCGCTCGTGTTCCCGCTGGGCCAGTTTTAGCAGAATGATTTCCACTTTCGTCTTGTCGTCCAGTTCTGTTCCCTTCTCTTCGAACAGTCCTTCGTACTTTCGAAACCAGGCTTCAAAATTCACGCCTCCCTCTGGATCGTAAACGAACTCGGTGATCCGTTGTTCGATCTGTTTCCTCTTGTTCTCTCTGGATGCCGGTCCCCAATTTCGCTGCATTTTCGTGAGTAATGCCATGAAGCTGGCCTGCTGGGCCTCCAGTATGTGTTTCATTTGTTCTTCTGATATCATTTTGCTGCACCTGCGTCGCCAGTTGTTATGACCCGGTAGGAAGGTAGGACAGGAAGAGAGCCGGTTCGGAGGA